GGATTTGTTGGAAGTCGCATGCTCTCATATCAAATTTTGTTAAATCCAGATCCAACGTACTAACTTTAAAAATTACAATTACCGAGCTAGAAACTAGGTAGGTTAATAGCTGACTTTGCAATTTCATTGTTCCCATTTCAAATTTTGTTAAATTCAAATTAAGCCAACTTCAAAAATTACAATTACTAACCTAGACACTAGGCAAGTTAATAACTAACTTTGTAATTTTATGGTTTAAATTCCGTTGATTTATGCACTTGACCCTAGAGTTTCAATGATACTAGTCATTGAAAAGTGCATTTCTTTTTTTGTTGGGTAGTTTTTTAATTTGTCTTATATCAAAAAGTTTAAAAAAAAAATTATGTTGATTTATAAAATCAAAGCAAAATTTTATATGGGGTTTTTTATTTAATAATTTATACTTATATTAATACTCTATAATTTACCAAGACTTGTTGGTCCGAGTGGAAGGAGTTCAGTTCCCCTTAAATAAGGTCTCGAGTTCGAGTCTTGTGAATGGAGAAACAGGTATTGGGAGAGCTTCCCCGTTAACGGGATCCAACGCGACTCGATTCTAAATTAGTCGGATCCAAAATGATTACCGAATACTGAAGGTTAATACAAAAAAAAAAAACTCCATAATTTACCACGAAGTATACTTTCTTTTTTAATAAAAAAATATAGAGTAAATAAAGCAAAAAGGAAACAGAAAAGTACTTATTTTAGATTGAGCAACTAAAGCTCTGCTTCAAAATGTATATTTTGAGAAATAATCACCGACGAGCGACACAGAGAAAATCACGAGAAGTAGATGGGGCCTGTCAGAGAATTCCGTGTTGACGGAGTGCATGTCCTGAATACGACGTGTAACTCTGCCGTCCAGAATTTTTCCTACTAATTATTATTATTATTTTTTAAAAGAAATAGTTTCCATCCAGGTAAGGAGTAGGAAGATTGGAGGAGAGTGAGGGAAACAAGAAATGGCGGTAGCGGCGGACCCACCTGATAAACAGTTACATTTTAATATTATCTAAATCTTTAAAAAAAGTTATAATAATAATATTATATAATAAATGTATTATTTTATATTTTATATTTTAAATATTTTTTAATTATAAATTACATAATATTATAAATTTATAATTATAATATATTCTTATATAATTTATATTTATATTTATATGTATATTTAAAAACCTATTTATATTATTATATAAATTTATTTTTATAAAATATATTATTAATTATAATTATATATAATATTATAATTTTATTGATATCTTAATTTTCTCTTGATTTACACCTACCGCTCCGTTTTCTGTGGGAGGAGGAGGGCTTTCCTCAGCGGCATTTCGCTTTCACCGCTCAAAATTTACGCCATCATCATACATGCATCCATGCATGCGTGAATGCGTGATGGATGGAATGATGTTTGATCATTCCATGATGCATGAAATTCTCCTTCAATACTTTAACGCGTACACGCGCCCTGTGGGTAGGAGGATGATTCAGCACACCGGCAGCTTGCACGCGCGTGGGGGTAGGAAGATCTCGTGGAGGGAGTGAGGACAAAGGCGGCACGTGAAGTAGCGAGTACGGCACACAGCAGCAGCGGTAGGGATATCGACGTGTGGGGCCGCTTAAAAGCTTCGCCGCCAGTGTCGGCATTTTTCGGTTAGTTGGGTAGCGGGGTCCATTTTTTTTGCATGATCGACAGCCACGTGTCTCTTACGCGTCAGATAGTGGAAGTGCTGGGTGTGGGCGCCGGGGCGGCGCCGCTAGTCGCCATCACCGTAACTTTTGTCCACTCAATACATGATGCGGGACTGGTGACCCAATCAGGAGCCGTTATTCTCCGGTTAGCCGGCGGCATCATTGCAATTTTAACAAAGTTTTACCATGTTCTTCCTCGCGCCGTCGGGAGTGGTTATTCCGTTATTGGCACAAATAAATATGTAACGCAAAAACCCATTCTTAAGCTTTCAATCTAGGCAAAACCATAAGTTAAGCCCCTGAACTGACTCCAGAATCGCTATTAAGTCCCCAAACTCTAATTGAAGCATTTAAGCCCCTGAACTCTGCAATAATAGAAGCAATTTAGCCCTTACTCTCACAGCCAATTTAACTGCTGTTAATTGCCGTTAACTGCTGTTTGGAGGACCGCCTCGTGTGGCGCATCTCATTCCTACGTGGCAAGGGACTCGACATTTGATTTGTCCACTTAGATGAAAAAAAAAAAATTATTTAGGAATAAATTTTTTATATTGTTTTTTTATACAATTTTATATGTCATTTAAATAATTAATTCTTTTTATTTATAAATTTGTCAAATTTATGTTTTAAAGGTACAAATT